TTTTCATTAAGAATAAGTGTTTTCAGATAAATAAAAGTTGAGCGTACCAATGTAGAACGTCAGATGTAAAACATGGAATGGATTTATTACATTTTCTCTTTTTGTACATTCTTCCATAAACCTCTTATTGGAATGCATTCATTCGGTTTTCGTTTAAATGTGTTTTCCTATATATATATATATATATATATATAGTAAAATTGAATTGAGTTCTATGAGCCGCTAGCGTATTTCGTAAAGAGAAAAAACGTTAAAATTTAACGATGCGACGTTGGCCTGGAAGTAAGGGTTTCGATCCCGGGTTGAAGCAATCGCACGTCTACCAACACTGAGATGCTGCGAAAGCATTCTGTCTGTAGATGACTATGACTATATCCTGTCATTGATATGAAAGTTTAGTTTTTTTATACTGTTATATACACATACATATTCGTTTGTTCTTCCGAACAGTATCCATATGTGTTGATGCATACTTGTAATCTTACATACTTATCTCTATGGAGTCTTTCTGTGTGTGGACTCTTGTCTGTTTACATACTTGATTGATTTCATGACTCACTTCGACCCGGTTTTAACGTTTCTCGTCCACCGCCACGGATCCAACACAGCGATTGAACAGAGGCATATCGATCATCAATACAAACAAACTTCACTTCGCCCTCTACTTAGACTAATGGAACACTCCCCTGTAAACCCAGACTAAACTATTTGAAAAGAGAAAACTTGAAATCTTGTCGATATGACTGTATATAGAATGTCCTACATTTAGTCATATATTGCTTCTTCGACCTTTTATTGTCCTGATAACGCTGGTAATATTTAGGCCAACCCTTAGATAGCCCTGTGTATGACGATAAACTACATCCAGCAGAAAAGCCTCTAATCGGGAGATTGGAACTTCTGAGGAGTGTAGAACTTAATTGCTGTTGTTCCCAGGTACACTCTGACTTAGAGCGATAGTACATTTTTATAGTAAAAATACCAGTAATATATTTTATATAAAAATACCAACATATACCTATTTATAGTAAAATTACCAACAATAAATCAATCAACATGACAGAAGTCTTTCATGACATTAATCTATAATATCCTAAAATTTCTTAAAATAATCAAACTGTACTCCAAAATATAACTTCAACAAAATATAAAACACACAAACTCTGCCTCTAATGTCCACACAAACATACATATGCACAAAAGTTGAGTATCACCTACCATGTATTCAACTGCGAAAGCAGAATAACATGCATTATATTTTTATTATTTCAAAGCTCCCAAGAAAATTTAGGCATAAAATGTTGATATTTCGTTAAAGAAATCAAATCAAAACTTTAGTGTAGATTGGCGAAGCTTTAGTTGTTGCTTTAGATATCTCAAAGGGGTTCGACGGGATTTCTAGGTGACTGTCTGTTAGGACCATATGTCCTCCCAGCACGTCATATAGAAGGCGTCTACTGGGAATTTATTTCGAACAAACTTCCAGACCTTCAAGAGGATGAAACCCAGCTAATACGAAGACGCATGTGGATCATGGGCACCAGCACATTTTAGTCAAACTGTTCGCAATGCACTGGCTGACATCTACCATGAAAGATGGATAAATAGGTGGCGACCTGTTCCGTGGCCTTCACGTTCTCTTGAGCTCAGTCATTTGGATTTTTATGTGTTATCATAATTGTTTTTTAAAGCAAGTATTTTAGATCTCCTTCAAGTTCATCTTCAGGGGTAAATTACAAAGACAAACTTATTGTACCTGCGATAAAATCTGCATTCTGTTTTGATGGTGATTTCTAAAAATACACTCGAACGTGCTCTGTTATGAATTTTATATTCATCCATTGTAGTTATAGAATTTTTTTGTAGAACAAGCGTTCCAATATAAGGAAGCTGACCGAAAATTGATAAAAACGTAAAATGACATTAATTTTTTTATATGCACTTTAATATGTTGTTGCTATATTCGTAATAAATTTTGTTGAGTGTTGGTTGGTTGATTTGAGATAGAGATCCTCGAGAATTTGATATAGACTTTAGTGGGGAGAAGACTTTAGTGGGGAGAAACGAGGAAAGAACAATAAAGGAACAGGGTTCAGGAAGATAGATGATGATTGACGCTGCATTGAAATTTCTGAAGGTTGTAGGAGACAGGAAAGAAATGAATCGGAAGGGATTTCCACAGGCGAGAAATGGTGGTTGCATCCAGTCCAACAATAAAACGGTGAGACCTAGTTGCCAATATAGTAGAACGCTTAAATTCATGTAGTCGAGGCACTAGGAAGAAAAGCTTCTCAGAACAGTTGCCATAAAAATATTTATAGAAAAGATAGACGGAAGCTATGTCATGTCTCTGAGAAAGTGATACCATGTCAAGATCGATTACATTATCGACCATTCTTGGAATTTTGTCAAGAATCTCCAGATATACAGCAAGAGCACCAGACTTGATACAGCAGCAATATTCAATGCACCGATGAATGGTAAATTTAAAAATGTGCAAAATAGATTCTGACGAGAAAGAATTTCTGACACAACACAATGAGCCAACTTTCCTAGCAGTAGATGCAGCAATTAGTTCAATATAATTAATCCACTTTAAGTCAGTGGAAAAAGTAAGCCCAATACGGCGAAGAATGTTGCTCTCCTGATCGCCGACAGAAAAGGTTCTCTATGGTGATTAACTGAAACCAGATTTTTTTGGGAGACGTTAAAATTTACAAACCATTTCTTACTGCAGATCCTTTTCAAGAGTAGTTGCCAGTTTTGCTTTGTCGGGTCTGTCAGTTAAGACATTCTGTCTGTTAAGACAGGAGCGTGTGTCATTTTCATAAATGTATAGCTGACCACTCATATTCGAAGATATTCGTCTACTAGGTTGTCTAGCCAATCCCTATTGCAGACGCTTGCTCAGGCGCATTTGTGTTTTTTCAACACCCACAGAACCTACCTATGGTTTATACTACAACTATGCTGAGCAGACCTTAGTTACAGTTTCTGAGAAAGCGAGTTATCTAGCATGATCAACAATTTAAACAAGGCCAGCACGCTCAAACCCTCGGCCACGATGACTTGTGACTTCGTGCTAACACAGCTATCAATGGCCAATTTCTATCCAACATCACTCACAAGTCTCACATATCCGTGGTATGGTTTTCAGGTACTTTTCCAAAGATACCGCATCGCCCCTCCAGTCCGATAAACATCAGGATGTCTTCTTCCTGAAAAATCGACCATGGTGAGATTCGAACCTGTGTCTTATAGTCAGAAAGCGAACGTCCTAACCGCTCGGCCACGTGTCCATTTTCATAAATACCTACGTGGAAAGGCACGGTGGAGCAATGGATAGCGGCTTGGATTGAGGAATCGGAGAGCCGAGTTCGAATTCCAGTCGAATCCATTACATTCACTTACGTGCTAACATCCTCTTTCTTCTCCCTCCAGCTATGGGTAAATAGCATGACAGACTGGGTTCTATAGCCTTCTCTAGGAGAAGGAAAACTCTGAATTCAAACCTGCTCTTAGAGGAGGGTGAATGAAGTCTCTCCGAGCCTTGGTCGGCAATCCATTTAGTGTTGGTGTCACGATAAAAACACCCTTGATAGCCCTAGCGAAGCATCAAGAATTTAGCTATTTGACAAGATTATGAACTGCACCAATCAAAGTATTAGGGAGTTCAATCTCGGCTGAGGCTGCAAGATGATGATAATAATCGTAAACTGATGCTAGTATCTAGTTTGTATTGTACCATGGGGATTCCAATCCGCCCACAAATGTTGGTTGTATGAATTTGTTATTCCATCTCTTCCAAATGTCGCCTTATTCATAAACGAGACCAAAGAGAAAAACAACGGACCGGCAGTTTGTTCAATAGACCATGAGCAAAAGTTCTCTCGTGGTGAGTGATCAGAGGGCGAAAGACTTTCACTCCTTGTAATCCCCTGCGTCTTAGTGGCATTATCGCCTTGCTTGCAAAATATTTTGTGAGGCCATTCAGTTTCAAAACGAAGCTAATTTGATGAAAGTACTCGATTTAAACCATTTAAATATAATGAGTGCCTATTGTGGATATTGAAGAACGATAAACCTGTCAATGTTTTATATTGTCTAATGTGTCTGTAAAAATGGTTGGTTCACAATATGCCTCCAAGAGGTATCTCATGCCTTGGAAGCTTTATATTTACAAGAGTAAAATAAGACCAAAAATCGTTTATTGCCGTCATATATATGTTAACAATTCTATGCTTGTAGTTTTTTTCTATCGTACTTCTCGCTTGTGGATCGCTCTTACGATTTCTTGTTTCCTAGTGAACTTTGATCTTGAAAAAAATTAAATGAAATGTCAATTGTTATCTTCTGTCTTCTTAATTCTTGTTCTTTTATTATTTTCTCTTCTTAATAGATTTTGTCTCTCGTATTCTCTAACCTTTTGCTTTAGTGGCTTTATTGCTTTGCCTGGGGTGAAATGATTAAAAAAATTATCTGAGCTGAAGCTTCTTAATCCTCATTTTGCCGTCACGATAGAATTCAAAATCCTTTGGAGGTGGAGGGCGCCTTTTCCACTCTGTATTCTCTTGATGTTCGGGTGGTGTAATGGATGTCAACTCGGAATGAGAAATCGAAGGGCCGAGTTCGAATTCCATCCACTTAAGCGCAAATGACCTTGGGGAATGTACGAATCCATCTCTCCCCCAGCTATTGGTTGAATAGCAAGACCGACTGGATAGCCTTAGCTGGCAGCCAGTTTACTGCAGAAGAAATGACAATCTACAGATTCATACTTTCGTCCACGTGCCACATCTAAGCTACGCTTAGAAAATCATTTAGGGCCCTTCGATGTGGTGTAATGGTTAGCAAGCTTGTCTGGTTAGACCAATTATGACTGAATAATGAGTTCGATCCTTACTGGGCACCCCATACTTTCTGCTTAGGCTTATAAAATTACGTTATCACAAAGAAAGAAAGAAAAAGAGAGAAAACAAAAAGAGGAAAAAGATAGAATGTCAGATAAGGAGAGAAAGTGAAAGAAAGTGAAATAAAGAAAAGACAAGGGGAGAAAGTGAAAGAAAGAAAAGACAAGGGGAGAAAGTGAAAGAAAGAAAAGACAAGGGGAGAAAGTGAAAGAAAGAAAGGAGAGAAAGTGAGAAAATGAAAGAAAGAAAAGTTAGAGAGACAGACAAGGAGAGAAGAAGTGAGAAAGAAAGAAAAGCAGCGAAAGATAGAGAGAAGGTTGTAGTAGATGAGAATAAGCGAAGTACATATTCAATACTCCTGCCCATTGCAACACGTGTTTCCTTTACGTTTTTTAAAATATTAAACATCTGCCATTAATAGTAAAATAGGTGGTCGCTTCGAGAAGAAAGGAAATAGGGAAAAAAATCATTTTTTCTTTCTTTTGTCCAGATAAACCCTTTTTCTATTCATAAATATTTCACTAGACGCAGCGCACGTGAATGCATTTGGATGTGTATCAGGGTTTCATGAAACAATTGGATATTAAATTGGACAAGGATATTAAAGCAAAAGAGTACGGCATGGTATGTATATATTGACTCACTCTCTCGTACAAAGACACACACACACACACACATACATACATATATATATATATATATATATATATATATATATATATATATATATATATATATATATAAATCTGTTAAGACCTCGGAAAAAAAATCGTCGGCTTTCATGTGCCTTGACCTTTCAGGACGTAGGCGATCATGGCTCTCTACCTCGTCCTGTCTCTTGTAGCTCCCAATAAGTTTTGTCTTTTTGTTATTTCTCCCAGATCTTGTTCAACCACTTGCTTAAGCCCGTTAAGTATGTCACGCGTTTCTTTCCGTTGTCCCGTTTTTTGCCTATCCGCCCTGCGAGTATCAGATATTCTAAGCCCTCCTTTCTCATTGCGTATCCCAGAAATTTCAACTGCCTCTTCCTGATCTTAAGTATAAGTTTCCTTTTTGTTTGCATCTTCTGCAAAACCTCGTCGTTGCTAACATCCTTAGCATCCTTCTGTAGAACCATACTTCTGTTGTCTCGAGTCTCCTCTTCATCCTTGAGGACACCCTCCAACATTTGTTACCGTAATAGAGGACAGATATCACGTAGCAGTTCAGTACTCTACCGTACCAAAAACGGACGTCTAAAAATGTGCTCAATGCAGCTGCCTTGACAAAAGCCATGCAGGGCAAGTAATTTTATATATATATATATTTATATATATACGTGTAGTAAAATTATGGAAAATAAAGCATAATATTTTTTTCTAAAAAATCCACATTACAACCAAAAACGTTTGCGGCACCTCTCTTCTCTTCTTTTTAATATACATACTTTTCTCTCGTTGGAACCACTACAACTTCTTTCTTTTATTTATATATATATATATATATATATATATATATATATATATATATATATATATAAGATAACGCACATATAGTGCTTGATGTAATATAAATAATAAAAAAAATATCAAAATAGTACTCTATGTAATTAAGTATAAATATACATATTTTTCTCACCAGTTACATAACTCTGAGTTTTATATATATATATATATATATATATATATATATATATATATATATATATATATATATATATATATATATATATATATATATATATACTATTTACATTATTCGGACTGTTGTCATATTTATTGTCATAGTCACGACGTTTTAGTAAATGTAATTTGAATTTCCTTTTCAAAACTTATTTTCAATTTTTTGTGGAAAGGTGCTAACGAGACATTTAAGTTCAAAATTTCAATTTTTGTGATTGCATAACTTTATTTAGCCATCATTTCACTCTCCTTGTATCAAAATAACCCTTTTATGTCTCTGTAGAAAAAAAGAAAAAAAATTCTCTCCATCCCTCTCTGTATATCTGTTTCCCTCCGATTCATACTTTATAATTTTCCCTAAAAAATTGTCTTGTTGCCCGCGGATATTATACAGAAGCTACCGGATTTTCTTGTGTATAATACGACCCCGTGTTTCTGAAGGGAATAAATTACATCAATGAATTGATCCCGTATTACAGTCATCCCTATGTAAATGTTTTTGAAAATTATTATCCATATTAACCATTAAGATCTCAATGTCGTACAATATTTCACTAAATTCACTAAATTGTTTAATTTTTCACTATATTAAGGAAAAGAAATGAAACAGATTTCCTTAGCAAAACTTATTTTCGAGAAAAGGTGCTAACTAGACATTTAAATTACTCAGTATTTTAAATATTTTTAAATCCACGTAAATTAACGTAATGTTTTGTGATTTAATATTGCAATTATGTCGTCTACACATAGCGATATAATTATGTCGGTCTTGTTTACATATCTATTTTGTATTGTTTATTTTTCTCAAATTATTTTCAAACTGGATACTTTGTGTCAACAGAGAAACTTAAAACAATAAATTTTGGAATTATCGCCCGCTTTTTTCAAGCCTTTTCTCTGGGATGAAGACTGTTCTCTCCTTATTTTAGATGGGAGAAGACGACCGGTTGCGGGGATACTAACTTTCCTCGTTGCCCAAAGAGAGGGTGGGTTTGTATAACATTGATACCAGCGTGACAGTGTGTGTGTGTGGGGGCGGTGATTGGACATTTCTCTTTGGTTAGTATGCATATTGCATATATGCAGCCCATGTTAAGAACGACCTTGTGTCACATCTTGCCATAATGGGAATGTCGGGTGAATAATCGGAAAGAAAGAAAAGACAGTAGTTGGTCTTTGTTGTAACATTCAGTTTTGTACCATGCGTAATACACGCCTCGGCGATCTTTTGATACATGACTGACGAGGCAGTAGGTTGTCATTTCTTTCTGCGGTAGACCAGTTGCGGTCCAGCTGAAGGAAGAGGATTCAATACGTTTCCCAAGGGTATTAGCGCATATGTGAATGCAATGGATTCGACTGGAATTCGAACTCGGCTCTCCGATTCCTCAATCCAAGCCGCTATCCATTAACACGACATAACTTATCTATTCCCATTATTGTTTTAAATAAGTTTCGGTGGATTTCTTTTCTTTGAGACAAAAGACAAAAATTATGCTGATTTCGAAAGAACAGATATTACTGACATATCAAATACCATTTGTAAGCAATTGTTATCAATACCTACCTACTTTGTGTCTTATTATCTGTTGTGCTTACTGAGTGTATTTCCAATCTTGCTGTTTCAAAGAAGAATTTTTTAAAAAAGTAAAAATTTCTGTTGACGATTACTTGTGGATAATACGACCGCTCATTTTCGCCTTGAATTATCGTTCAAGATTCTGCGTATTATGCACAAGAAAATACGGCAACCTGTCAGCAAAAATATAAAATATATAGTATAAACAATATATAATATATGAAATATATAGTACATATAACATATAAAATATATAGTAGATAAAATATGATATATAAAATATATAGTATATACAATATATAAAATATATAATAATTAAAATTTATAATATATATATATATATATATATATATATATATATATATATATATATAGGTAACTATACTCGTTTCGAAAAACCTTCGAATTCTTGATTTGCCAATAATCAAATCAATCACGAAGGAAAAAAAGGTTTTAAAAAAAGAAAGAGCTAAAAACATGAAAGTCTGCCGAAAAAAATCGCACAGATGCAGGTCTGAAGCCCAAAGAAAAAAACCCGATACGAGTAAACAACTAACTAACAAAAGAGCTCAATACAACCGTAGAGCAGACCTAGATACACCTAGTGAGCCAGACAAACCTACCTAGGTGTCACCTAAGCGGATCGTCCTGGGTAGGTTTGTCTGGCTCACTAGGTTTCTCTCTCTCTCTCTCTCTGTCTGTATATATATATACCGATTGGTTCTTTGTAGCTCAAGCGGTAAAGGGACGTCAGCGTATATGACGGTTCCGTATAGGATGCAGGTTCGAATCCTGTCAAAGAACGAAAATTTTCTATGAAAATTTCTCGGACATTCAGGCCGGTAAATGTTATTTAATACTGTTTATCATAAACAGAGCATTTGCTTAAATACTTGTATCTATAAAATAACAACGTTAAACATAAAAATATGTCTTTAATAAATAAATTGTCGGAACTTGTCCATTTCTTAATATATGACGTCATTTGTTTACATTCGATACGCCAGAGCAGTTATGAATGTACGAGATTCATGGAAAGTAGGAGTTTATAAGCAGTAAATTCGACCTTGTCTACCGATTGGTTCTTTGTAGCTCAAGCGGTAAAGGCACGTCAGCGTATATGACGGTTCCGTATAGGATGCAGAACGTCAAAGAACGAAAATTTTCTATGAAAATTTCTCGGACATTCAGGCCGGTAAATGTTATTTAATACTGTTTATCATAAACAGAGTATTTGCTTAAATACTTGTATCTATAAAATAACAACGTTAAACATAAAAATATGTCTTTAATAAATAAATTGTCGGACCTTGTCCATTTCTTAATATATATATATATAATATTTAAAATAAATACTATATAAAATATATAAGATATATAACTTGCTTGTTATCTCCAATAAAACCTGTCTGAATGAACATATGGACAGTTGTTATTCCCCCCCCCTCCGACACATATATATATTTTATTTAATTTTAGTTTATTTATGTCTGAATTTCTGGGATGAAGAGTTATTAGTATTTGCTTTATTTACATTCAGACTAATATTCTTATCTTTGTTGTTATTGCCACCTGATCGCCTTCTGTCGGAATATCTGGGATAAGGAGTTATCATTATTTGCATTGGGACTATTATCCTCATCTTTGTTGTTATTATCACCTGATCACCTTCTGTCGGAATGTCGAGAATGAGGAGTTATTATTATTTACATTCGGACTATTATCCTCATCTTTGTTGTTATTGCCATCTGAACGCCTTCTGTCAGAAATTCTGGGATGAGGAGTTATCATTATTTACATTAGGACTATTATCTTTGGGTAGCGGTTCGGTTTGAGGAATCGAAAGGCCGCGTACGAAATCTAGTCGAACTCATTATTTACATTCAAATACCCTTGGGGAAGACATGAAACCAACACTTCTCCTATCAGTTGAATAGAATGGGTCCTATAACCTTGGCTAACAACCGAAAGAGAAGGAAAAAGTCCGAATTCTCAACCAGGCTTGAGAAGGTTGGGATCCGTCAGGGAACAAAGCCGTTATTGTGGTCGCAGTACATGTGGTGTCTCTACGGCTCTACCTGGGATAATTAAAAATAACAGCGAGAAAAAAATAAAAATAAAAACGTTTAAAAAGCAAAAAAGATCGAATGACGGGGTCTAGATGTTTTTACATCTTTAACGTTTCCTCTCTGTGCACAATTATAATCGACATTTACATTTATCCCTCTCCTTCTCTCTCTCTCTCTCTTTCTATATATATATATATATATATATATATATATATATATATAATTCCATCAATAAGAACATTACTTTAGTCTGATGATGTCCTTTTAGATGACGAAACGCATCACAGTTTTTTTTCACTTTGTTATTCAGTTATATATATATATATATATATATATATATTAGGTTGGTGCAAAAATAATGACGTAATAATGTCGTTTTTTGACGTACTTTTCCACGTCAAAAAACGACATTCTTACGTCATTATTTTTACACCAAACTAATAGATAGATAGATAGATTAGATAGATAGATAGATAGATAGATAGATAGATAGATAGATAGATAAACCTAGTGAGCCAGACAAACCTACCCAGGTTTCACCTCTCTTTGTTAATTTTAGTCTCTATGTCATCTGGGGCTATTTTTATAATGTTTTATTACTTCTTTATGTAATATTTTTTTGTATTTATTGGGGCTCATTTTATATAAGAATTTAGATTTATCGGCTTTTATGTAGATGTTCTTATCTTCCTTTATTTCTTTTATGTTCTTAGTAATTTGCTGTTGCACATTATTATTTCTTATTTTCCTATATTTTAATTTTTTAATGATGTCGATTAGTTCCGATTCGAATCTATTGAGTTCCTTAACACACGGGGGGGGGAGGGCATTGGTTTTATATCCATAGCTCTCGTTGGTTTTGCTATTAGGTTTATTATTTAGACGAAAATATGCTCTCCACCTCATATTTACTATAAAACTTTTCTATTTTTCTTAGCAAGCATAACTCGTATGAATGGCGGTCAGGTATAGGTATGTTTTTGAGTGAATAACCCATGTCTACACGTTCCATATTAGTTGATTTAAAACAGTGCTCGATAGAGTAACCTAGAGCTTTATAAATACAAATATAGGTATATAGGTGTTTACTCGTATCGGTTTTTTTTTCTTTGGGCTTCAAACCTGTATCTGTGCGATTTTTTTCGACAGACTTTCATGTTTCTAGCTCTTTCTTTTTTTTAAAACCTTTTTTTCCCTCGAGATTGATTTGATTATTGGCAAATCAAAAATTCAAGGGTTTTTCGAAACGAGTATAGTTGCCTATATTTGTGTGTATATATATATATATATATATATATATATATATATATATATATATATATATATATATATATATATATTACATCAGGTCCTGCAAGCCTTCTTTGTACAAACAACGTGAGTGTTTGCTGGGACTCATGTCATCTGCCTCTAGTTCCTTCTAGCATATATGCAGGTATATATATATGTACATATATGTATTTTTTTTTTTCCACCTATTCTGATTGTACCTTTCTCTGTTTTAATTTTGAATCTCCCGTGGAAGCCTGATGAGCGGGAGCGAAACCGGTTGCTTCCCCCCCTTGTTGTTGAGTTTTTTTTTTATTATTTAATATTGTTTTAATGTCTTGTAATATTAAATTTTACACTTTTATTTCGATCATTAAATTTTGTACCTACAAAAATATCTTTATATATATATATATATATATATTTATATATATATTTTATTTGAAATGAGCTATTGAAAGTTAGAGAGTTGTGTCCGCTTAAGTTGAAAAAGTGTGACACAGTGACATTTGCATTTATTATATATATATATATATATATATATATATATATTTACACATTTATTATATATATATATATACATTTATTATATATATATATATATATAATTGTGTATTTCGGCAGCAATCTCTCTTTTATACAAGTTTCATTAAAAACGACTGACAAGGTACTACTGACCGTGTTTGGAAAATAAAACATTGTAGTAACTCTAGATACATAAATAAAACAACCGATACATTCAGTTAAAAGAAAAAATAAAATCATCCTTGATGATGGCTAAAAGTGTAGCCGAAACCTATCGGACATACAGAACATTCGGCCAATTTCTACATAATTTATGTACAGAAAAGAAGAAAATTATGAGAACACAAGAAAAATAAATAAAAACTTAACCGCAGTACCTTGCCAGTAGTTTAGTTTTTAAAGAAAATTATATATGTACAAATGTACCATAATTTTTTAGATACTCTCTTTATTTGAAAAAAACTTAAACGAAATGAAGGTTTTTGCTTTTTTTTAAAAAAATCATTTCACCCCAAGCAAGATAATAAAGCCCTTAGGACATATTAGAAAATATGAGAAAAACTACTAATAAGGAGAGATGACAATAAAAGAACAAGAATTAAGAAGACAGAAGATAGCAACTGACAATGCATTTAAATTTTTAAAGATCGAAGTTGGCTGGGAAGCATGGAGCCCGAAAGGCGTTCCACAAGCGAGAAGTGCGGTAGAAGAAATTGTTAGCATAGAACTTACGGTTACATCTAGCTATTTCAACTGTAAATTGAAGAGACCATACGGCCAATCTAGTACTACACTTAAATTCATAAAGTTTAGGTACCATGGCGGAAAGTCCATATTTATAGAAAAGGCACAGGGAAGTTACGTTACGGTGATGGGATAGTGATGGAAGCCGAGATGCCAGGTCAGGGCTAATAAAATTGCAGATTCCTTTTTGAATTTTATCAAGAATCGTTAAACATATAGCAGGAGCAACAGGCCAGATGTGAAAGCAATATTCAAAGCAAGGACGAATGGTAGACTTATAAATACAATATAGGGGAAACAGATATTCATACTCATACACATTTTTAATTTATTGTATTTCCAACAGACGAATAAACATCCTTTTCATATAATTAACTTTACACAGATGCCTAATTACTAAATATGCATAGAAAACAGAAAAAAATTGATTTAATAGAAAAAAATCTCATTTATCATTTTTATTGTGTGAAAAAGTATTCGTACAATACAAAAAAGAATATATAATCTTCATTTAATACTTTGTAGAATAGCCATTATTCACTTCTACAGCAATCAACCTTTTTTTGTAGTTCTCAATTGATTTTCAAATTTTAGTTGGTATTTTGTTCCATTATTCTTCGCATATGGTCTTCAGATCCAGGATGTTTGTTGGAGCTCTCGATTGGATTTGAATTTTCAAATAACGCCACATATTCTGGATTGGGTTTAAACCTGGGGACTAACTTGGCCATTTCAGGATGATTTTCAGCAAGGCATTTCTTCGTATATTTTGCAGTGTTCTTAGGATCATTATCTTGTTGGAAGATTCAATCAGGAGAAAGTTCAAGATTTTCAACCGAAATCATTAAATTTATTTCAAAATATTTTGATATGCTGCGGCATTCTACCATCTGTTACTGATATGTTGTCAGTACCTTTTGCAGAAAAACATCCCCAAACCATTATGCTGCCGCCACCAAATTTCACTGTTGGAACTATGTTCTTTTGTTTGAAGGCATCGCCGTCTTTCTTCCATACATAATTCCTAGAATTACGTTCAAAGAACTCAATTTTGGTTATGTCTGTCCATAATACTCTTTCCCAATACAATTTTTCCTTATACGTATGTTCACGAACGAATTTCAACCTGGCATCTCTGTGTCTTTTAAATAACGGTAGAGTTTTCCGGGGGGCTTGACTTTAGATTATTCCTATGAATTCCATTGCTTATTGTCTGTTTAGTTACACAGATTCCTGAATAAATCAAATTATCCTGCAACTTTAGGTGAGTAACCATTGGATTTTGTTCAATTTGACTCATGAATTTCCTCAAAGATCTTGCAGAAATCTTCCGTGGAACACCCGTTCTTCTTTGGTTTTCAACAGTTTTGAGATTTTTATATCTTGCAATAAATTAACTAATGGTAGTAAATGGAATATTCAGGTTGCCTGTAACTTTTACCTTCTTTCCAGTGTTTAACAATCTGTTCTTTCTGCGAATTTATCAATTCTTTAACTCTTGTCATGATGATAACCTTCTTGCACAAATATCAATTACAGAATGTTGTTTTTATTTTTTTAGGCTAAAAATAACTACTGATAACATTATTGGAACATTCTAGAATATTTTACTTGAATAATATAGAGTATTAAACCAAATTAAAAGTTTTAAAATTTGAAATTTGCATTGTATGAATAATTTTTTCACACATTAAAATGGATAAATGGTATTTATTTTTATTAAATCATTTTTTCTGTTTTCTATGCATATTTAGTTATTATGCATCTGTATACAGTTAATTATATGAAAAGTATGTTTATTCATTAAATTAAAGATTTGTATATGTACGAATATTTGTTTTCCCACCACCATTGTATGTAAGATAGATTCTGGTGAGAATAACTGCCTAGCACAACATAGTGAACTGACTTTCTTAGCTGTAGACTTAGCAGTAGATTCCATATAATCTTCCTACTTCATAACTGCAGAGAACTTTAGCCCGAGGAATCGCAATGAGTTATTCACTTATAGGTTAGCATCATCCATGCCGATGGACGGTAAAAAGGTTCTTATTTCTTGGTGGAGTTATTTAGGGATGTGTAAAATATCTGGTGAGACACGGGAAACGCTGAATAATTTGAGTGAAGAACAGATTGCTAAATCTTTTTAAAAATTCCCAGAACACTTGGAAATTTTTGTGCACACACACACACACACACACACACACACACACACACACACACACACACACACACACACACACACACACACACACACACACTTTCTAATCGGGAAACACAAAACCGGACGCACACTCGTCACATATTGAATATTCACATATGTACTTAAAGACAAAAATAAATAAATATGGACAAAAGCATACGCAGATATTTACCGCTTCGTCCCCCTCCCATTTTGCCCGTAGCTCATATTCTCATGTTTAATTATCATCACTCTCCTCCCAATAAGCCCAGCGCCGAACCCACCACGGACAACTTGCGATGCAAGCTATTCAATCAATGGAGTTAATATCACTTTCAAATCCCTAAAGCTAGCATTTCCGACTTTGCTTTCCCCGTCCATCTCTGTCTTTTCGCCAGCTCCTAAGTAATATGGACGTCCGACCAGCGCAGACAAAAAGTGAATAAAAAGAAGGACCATGTCTGCAAAATGGGCTTAGCACGTTGACAGAATTCGATTAATTACCAACTTGTATCAGATTTATATTCAACTCTATTCTCCACACACGAGCGCTTTCCTTAGCACAGCGGTTGCCTGGGACATATTGTATTAGCATGTTGCCTGGTTTTGCGTGTCGTCTGATGAACAACAACAAAAAAAACCTTTGGCCTCTGGTTGCATTACAAGCTGTAGTTCGTCGTATATTGCATTCGTATGTGTTCTGGGAGATTGTTTCAAACGAAACGCTGTGATTTTTATTCTCATAATAGCATAAAAATGGTGGATAATCAGAATTTTGTAAAAGAATTGCCTGATCAGCGGAGAGTTTAAAGGGAACATATTTAAAGAAAAACAACATGGAGGACATTGGTAAGTGTCGCCGTTAGCAGTGGGGGAAGATAGAAAAATGTCTCTCATTTAAAAAAGGGATTTTATGTGCATAAAATGACTCTGAGATGGGCATATTCAATGCTGCGTGTATTGTAGGCAGTAGTGTCCAATATCAAAGAAAAGAGAGAGAGAGAGAGAGAGAGAGAGAGAGAGAGAGAGAGAGAGAGAGAGAGAGAGGGGGGGATACAAAAGAACGGGTTAAAAAAGTTGAGAAAGAAAATGTAAACAGAAAAATAGCAAAGAGAAAAAAATAAATGGAAAAAAAAGAAAATTTTGGGAGACAGAAAGGCTTAGAATGGGAAAAAAATGATAAGGACAAAGCGAGAGATCGGAAAGAAAATGAAAAAGGGTGTGAGTGAAAGAGAGAGAGAGAGAGAGAGAGAGAAAGATAGGCATATATATATATATATATATATATATATATATATATATATATATATATATATGCCAATGTATCCTTTACATTGAACAAAATGGTTGCAGGAGAGACAGAGGGAAGCTGAGTGGGGCTGAGAAAAAGTGCAGGAGAGAATGGGGAAAAAGAGATAAAGAAAGAAGCAAAGAGAAAGACAAAAAAAAGTGAAAGAGGGCGAGAGAAAATGGATAGAGAGAAAGAGTGAGAGAGAGTGTAATATATATATATATATATATATATATATATATATATATATATATATATATAAATAAATTCATTGAGTCTGATATAAACCTCAACAGGAAAATAGAGGAAGCACTGGACAGCCGTTTCGTCCTATAATTGGGACTCATCAGCAGTGCTTCCTCTATTTTCCTGTTGAGGTTTATATCAGACTCAATGAATTTATTTATATGTTTATCAAATCCTCCTACTTATTATATGTGTTTATCGTTGCTTGATCCGGCTTCTAATGCTCCAGTTGGCGCGGCTTGGTGAGAGTAGTCTTAAACCCTATTATTGCTTTATTATTATTTTTGTACAATTTTAATTTTGAACAATGAGTCAGCGTCAATCCCATGAGCATCTGTAGACTTTTCAAATGAACAATAAGCTATATCTCTTGCCTTATGAGTTGGGTTACCAACGAAACTTGAGTCACACACCAAACGTAAGTATATGTGTATTTATTAATATATATATATATATATGTGTGTGTGTGTGTGTGTGTGCGCGTGTATGTGTGCGTGCGTGTGCGTGTATGTGCGGAGAGAGAGAGAGAGAGAATGTGTGAATTTTCTGAAAAGAGGCGATTACAGAAAAAGACGATATGCAAAAAGAAAAGTGAGAGTGATATACATTAGTATTTCGAACCAAACCCTTTATTTAGTTCACATTGTTCTAATTCCATGTGCCGTACCTTTTGGATATCTCAGTTTTAGTTAATTCACCTTGAAAACTCAAATTTTGGTTTTCTCTGCCGTGGCCAAGGATTGAACTCACAGCTCGTTGGGTCAAATTACTTATAGATTAATCGCTTTTATCCATTGGGCCATATGTCTTTAACTAAAACTGAGGTATCCAAAGGCACGACAGGTGGAATTAGAATAATCTACTCTCGTTGATTAAATAAAGGGTTCGATTCAAAATTCCACCAAAGATCTCCTGAAGAAACGTCGTGGATATGGCAATGAAGATGAGGACAGCAGTTCGAATAATGTAAATAATGCAATTACCATTTTGTCTTTAAAAACAATGTTTATTTAAGACCTTGGCA